TCTTCTTCTTCTTCTTCTTCTTCTTCTTCTTCTTCTTCTTCTTCTTCTTCTTCTTCTTCTTCTTCTTCTTCTTCTTCTTCTTCTCCTTCTCCTTCTCCTTCTCCTTCTCCTTCTCCTTCTCCTCCTCCTCCTCCTCCTCCTCCTCCTCCTCATTATTATCATTATCATTATCATTATCATTAAACATGAAACTCAGTCAACTGAACATTTAAAAATGTATCACAAATATTGACTGGCTCTGATGGTTGATATGGGTTGCTGCCTGCACCCTAGGTGGTGGTGGATATTATTATTATCATCATCAATGAATTTATTTGCTGCCTATACAACAATTCAAAGCAACTCTTTAGTGGCTTGAGTCCATCAATCAGTTCCACTCTCAGGAACATCTTTGTCAAGATTTCCTACGTTCATGGTATTTTTCATGCACTTACACAATCCATGCTATCAGGCATGCCACATTATGTAAGCTACTCCTTTTTGTGTTATATTTGAGTTTCATGTGTGCCTGAGGCTTAAGTATCAGGCCACTTTACTGTTTCTTTACCTAAACAATAATGAATAATGTTGACAAAAAATAAGATATTGTTTCTTCTACTTAAAGCTCGTCAAATAGTCATAGAATTGAGATTCTAAAATTTAGTAAATGATTACCAAGTTTATCAAGAACAAAGTTAAATATCCTAAGAAGAGGAAAGAGAAAGAGGAGATTGGGCAGGAGAAAATACCTTTCTGATATGTTAAAGTTGTAAGAATGTTATAATCTATGGCATGGTTTATTTATACTTTCTTGATCTTTCAGAGACAGACTGAGATGGAGAAGGTGTTCTGGGGAAAGTGGGAACCAACAGGATGATCCAACCAGGAAAATGAAAAGCAGAATGATTTTCCTCCCTATTCTGTAGCTGTCTCTTCTTTTTCAAATTTATCAACCAATGTCACCTCAACCTCTTTTTTATTCCACTTCTCCATATATGATGACCGTGTCCTATTTTTCAAATTCCTCTTCCTGTGGAAATGTAGCTTAGTTTTATCAACCTGTGGTTTGTGATTGGAGCAGCATCAGCATCTCTGTATATAGGGTCAAAACAGGCAAGATGGTGGACAGAGCAGCACAATTGATGCCCTGACCCTTCGAGGCATGAAATTAAGGGCTGGGGTTTGGGCTATGCACTGCCAACCTCACCATCTTGCCCATTTTTATTTCCTACGGAACCTTAACCCTAACCCTATGGAAGCCAACTGATTCAATGTCTTTGTGTCAGCTTAGCTGCAAAATCTGAAACCCAGTGTCCCAAATTTACAAGAGGTTTGTCCTCTGTCAAAGAACTAGAAGTCCTTATGCATACTTAGAGCAAAGTCATTCAACATCCAATATGAGACTATTGATTGATTTTAAAAGCTTTATTTTAGCAATATAAGCGCCTCGCTTTCACTCTCTCAATCACACAAACCACATGTTCCAAGAAGTATTTCTTGCTGTCAGCCAAGTGACAAAAAAGACAGAAGTTCAGGGAGAGTTCTTTGAGACGATCTTCAGCGGAGTAGAAGATGAGAATTCAGACTTCTTTCTTCAGCTCTCTTTTTATAGCTTTCACACTGTAAGATTCTTAACTGATTACTCCTCATCAATCTGGGGAGTCCTTCCATCTTTGTGGAGGTCATTAGGCTGTCTCTGTTTGTGCCCTTATCATGACCATCTCATGGACTGCAAGAAACTTGCTGGAATGATGGATTCAAGAATTCCTTATCCCTTCACACCTTAGTGTACCTTGGAGTCTCTCTGAATGTCTTTATGTTTAGGCACGTAGAATCAGATGATACAATAAGTGCAATAATTCTACTTTTTAATGTCAGTCCATTAAGATATTTTATAATAAGGGTTGGGTTTCTTATGCTTGCAGATAAAATGAGAGTTCATACTTGTTCCATGGCTTCTTTGGAACAGCAGAACTTCTTGAAATAACCATAAGGAATGTGAACCTTTCTGATACTTGATCCACTCTGTGTCTGTAGAGATTCCCAGTCATCCAGGTCATGGTTGTCCCAAAGGTGCTTTTTCTGCAGGCAACTGGACTTTTTTGTTTTTTTTATTGAAGATGTTTTGCTTCTCATCCAAGAAGCTTCTTCAGCTCTGATAGGATAGTAGAGAATGCAAGGATTTATATATTCCTTGCAGATAGCTGGTCATTTGCATCCTTTTTAGAGCAGGGGTCTTCAAACTTGACAGCTTTAAGACTTGTGGATTTCAACTCCCAGAATTCCTTCTCCGGTCATGTTAGCTCAGGAATTCTGGGAGTTGAAGTCCACAAGTCTTAAACTTGCCAAGTTTGAAGACCCTTGTTTTAGAGGGTCGCTGAAGCACTTGGAGGTTTATCTGTGTCCTCAGGGTCACCTGAGTAGTGCTTCTGGTTCCTATGGTCTGCAGTTTTCCCCCTTCAAGAAC